TGTTTGGTTAGAACATTATCTTGCTCTGCTCATTTTTATCCAACTGGTTGTTTCATTCATGATCTTTCTCGGGGATTGATGATTGGGAGGGGTGAACTACTACAAAATCTATACATACTTTCAACACAAGCCCTCTCAACATCAACACCTGTGAAACCTTTCTGTGGTTCTGCTATTTCTGATGATCGTCTTTGGCATCTACGTTTAGTTCATCCTTCTACTCATGTCTTGCACAAGTTGGTTCCTTTCATTCCTGCTTTGAAGTCTTGTGATTCTTCTGCATTTCCTTGTCAAGTTTGTCCATTGGCTAAACAGCGACGTCTTGCATGTGTTTCTCCGAATAGTTTGTCACTTCATCCGTTTGATCTTGTTCATTTAGATGTTTGGGGTCCTTTTCATACTGAGTCTGTTGAAGGTTATAGATATTTTTTTACTTTGGTTGATGATTGTACAAGGATTACTTGGGTTTATATGATGAAAACTAAAATGATGTATTGACTATATTTCCATCTTTTCTTAAACTTGTTTCAACTCAATATCAATCCAAAGTAAATCTATTCGATCTGGTAAAGCACCTGAATTAGCCTTTCCATCTTTGATTAAAGAACATGGTAGTGTGCATTATTTTTCTTGTCCTTACACACCACAACAAAACTCAGTTGTAGAATGTAAGCACCAACATTTGCTTAATGTTGCTAGAGCATTTCTTTTTCAATCAAACATACCATTGCAATATTGGAGTGATTGTGTCTTGACATATGTTTCTTGATTAACCGATTACCTTCTCTTTTACTTGGCTATAAATCACCTTTTGAATTGCTACTTGGTCGTGTTCCTGATTATTCAATGCTAAAATCATTTGGTTCTCTTTGTTTTGTTTCTATCTTGGCTAAGGATCGTCATAAATTTAGTCCTCGAGCAAGACCATGAGTTTTCTTAGGATATCCACAAGGATATAAAGGTTACAAAGTGTTAGATCTTGAGTCTCATTCTGTCTCTATATCTTGTAAAGTGAATTTTCATGAACATGATTTTCCTTTTAAAACTAGTGAACTATTATTACAGGCTGTTGACATGTTTCCTAATACGATTTTACCTCTTCCTGTACCTTTTCATTTTGTTGAAACAATGCCTTCTTCAGAGCCTTTGCATGATTCTTGTTATCATCCTTCTGATGCTCATAATCCTACTACTACTAGTGCTACAACTACTAACAATACTTCTGTTCCTGTTCATATTATGTTCATGTTTCTGTTTCTGAGACTAATAGTACTGCTGTTGGCTTTGTACCTATTGATAGACCTAAACGGGTGTCTAGAGTTCCTAGTTATTTGTTTGAGTATCATTGTTCTTTGTTACGATCTACTTCACTACCTCCTTTTCCTTCTACTTCTCCTATTTGTTATGTTTTACCTTGTTCTTTAACTCCTTCTTTACTTCCTAAAACTCCTTATCCACTTTCTTCTGTTATCTCTTATGATAAATTTCATCCTCTTGTCCAACAGTTTATCTTTTTCTATACTCTTGAGACTGAACCTAAATATTTTAAAGAGGCCATGAAGTCGGATAAGTGGAGAGTTTCAGTGAATGTGGAGTTTGATGCTCTTGAACAAAATAGGACTTGGGATGTGGAATCATTACCTCCTGGTAAGAATGTTGTGGGTTGCAAATGGGTCTTTACCATTAAGTACAATCCTGATGGTACTGTAGAGCGTTACAAGTCACTTTTAGTTGCTCAGGATTTTACTAAGAAAGAAGGTCTTGATTTCATGGATACTTTTTCTCATGTTGCAAAATTAGCGAGTGTCAAGCTTCTTATGAGTCTTGTTGCAGCTAAAGGATGGAGTTTAACACAAATGGATGTGTCTAATGCATTTCTCCATGGTGATCTTGATGAAGAGATTTATATGAGTTTTCCTCAGGGTTACACACCACCTCCTGGTGTTGTTTTGCCACCTAATCCAGTGTGTAGATTGGGAGCGAAAGTCACTGTATGGGTTAAAACAGGCTTTTCGTCAATGGTATAAGCGATTTTCATCTGTTATTTTGGGGGCTAACTTTGTTCAGTCATCTGCAGATAATGCGCTCTTTTTTCAAGCAACATCTACTTCTTTCATTGCAGATCTCGTCTATGTGGATGATCTCTTGATTGCTAGCAATGATGATGTGGCCGTTTCTCAGTTGAAGGAACTTCTTCATTCTGAATTTAAGATCGAAGATCTTGGTCCAGCTCGGTTCTTCCTTGGTTCAGAGATCTGTCATTCTTCTGAGGGCATAGCAGTGTGTCAACGCAAGTATGCATTAAATCTTCTTGAAGATTCAGGTCTCTTGGGTTGTAAACCAAGATCTATTCCGATGGATCCTAGTATTCATCTTACAAAGACTTCTGGTACTCCTCTGCTTAATCCTACTGAGTATAGAGAACTCATTGGTTGTCTTTTATACTTGACTATTACTCGTCCACACATAACATTTGCCTATAACTGATATTCACTTACATGCAGCTCATAAATTCTTGCGGTATATCAAGACTAATCCTGGTCAAGGAGTGATGTATTCTGCTTCCATAGACTTGTGTCTCAATGCTTTTACTGATGCAGATTGGGCAACATGTAAAGATACTCGACGGTATGTTAGTGGCTTTTGTATCTTCTTGGGAACGTCTTTGATATCATGGAATTCTAAGAAGCAGAGTGTGGTTAGTAGAAGCAGCACAGAGGCAGAGTATAGGAGTCTTGCTCTTGCAACTTGTGAGTTGATTTGGTTACAACAGTTGCTTCGAGATCTTCATATCACACCTTCTTCCACGATAAAGCTGTTATGTGATAACAAATCTGCTCTTCATATTGCCATGAATCATGTGTTCCACGAACGCACAAAGCATATTGACATTGATTGTCAAACGGTGTGTGATCAGATTAAGGCTGGAAAGTTGCTTACAATGCATGTTTCTACTTTGAATCAGCTTGCTGATGTTCTAACCAAGGCGCTGCATCCATGACCTTTCTACTCTCTTGTTCATCGTCTGTCTATATCAAGTCTTTATCTTCCTTCTGATGATACGAAAGTAAAGACTTGAGAGGGGCATATTAGAGTAGAGTACACGGTTCTTATGGTTAAGTTTGCTTTACCTTAATCATAGGTTAAGTCCAGTTTATGTTTATTGATTCCAGGTATGTATTCAACCGGGTCTATATATATGTTAAACCATGTAACAAACTCTTTTACGTTGAATTGAATCTAACAACCTTTTCATTCATTTTCTTCTTGAGCTCTAAATCAACACTATCTCCTTCTCCGTTTTCACTCTGAATCTATAGTGTTAATTGTAGCTGATATCACTCATCATGAATTGTTCTAAATCGAATTTGACTCGACTCATAAAGCACTTAAAGACTAGTTCCTTGGACATCAAAAGATTATGATATTTCGCTAACATATATAAAATGTCACAATTCATTAATTTATATAAGATGACATACACATAATGACATGTAATAATTTTTTGTCATTAGCATAACCAGATTTGATTAAACACTCTGCTACCCAAATATGACACACTGAGTCAATGAAGACAAAGTGAAAAAGTTGAAGATGTACACCTCGTGTCAGTTTATCCGTCCTTGTGTTTTGAGTCCTTGGAACATGTCTGATCTCAAATGTGAGAAAACTTTCTTCAATCATGTGTATTTCGTTTAAGTAGAGTGCAAAAGCAAGTTATTTTTTCCGGCTCCAAATCCATTTTCACCAACTGAAAATAATATGTTGCAAAACTGCGTGGAATTAATCGACATAGAGTTCTCATACATTCGATCGTCCATATAAAAGCTTCGAATTCTGCATAGAGTGGGAAAATACCATTTCTTGTATTCCTCATTTCCATCAAACCATTAAATCCCTTTAGTGTGTTATACCAACCATTTCTTGAAAATTTTTCCTTATTTTTTCGAGTCATCTGTAACCAACACCTCCCAATCCTTAGAGGCACAATTTGTCTTTCATCTTCTCTGGACTGAGAAGTTTCTACTTGTGCTCCTTATTTATTGTGGAATTTAAGCCATTTTCCAAAGTATAGGTTGTCTCTCTGCTAACCGTAAAGTGTCCATAGGATCGATAAATTTCATTAATCTTTTTGTCATTTCATCATTTTCAAATGTACCAAAAATCTAAGCAAATAAATCATTTTTTAATAATGTGTAATCCTCCAGAACAAATAGTCCATATTCGCGAAGCCGACTGCATGAGAAATGTACTAGGTGAAGTTGGGTTGCTGAATAAGGTCCAATGGCTGGAAGACATTGAAAAAATATGTGGTTAATCGTCTCTTCCTATGCTCCACATCTCCCACAAAGTGTATCACATAAGATTCCTCTACTCCGTAAATTCTTCTCATAAACAATCTGAGATGATTTGCCATATAATGTTTTAATTTTGGTGAGTATTTTACCACCAAGAGTGAGCACACAAGGCCTTAGTATCAAGGCCAAAAACTGTCTTTCGTGTTGTTCTATCCGGGTAGAGATGCTCTAACGAAAACAGAGAGCACCAAACATAATGATGGGAAAATAAGAGAAGAAACCAATTTCTTTGAGACAACACTGGTTAAAAAAGAGCAATCATGATAAAAAAATATAGCTTTTTTTTTTGGTTCAAACTGGACTTCATTAGAAAATTAAACTGAATTCAGGACCCATAAAACCTGTTTTCTCCAGAATCTCCGCAGGCCCATTGGCTGCTCTTGGAATAAATGAAAAATAGATGGAATTAAATGAAGAACAGAAGAGGATATGATTAATTACAATAATGAATCTCAAGATTGCGTTTTAACGTACGCCTCCAATGTTTCAATTTTGGTGAGCATTTTACTACCAAATATAACCATTTTGAAAAAAAAGTAAGAGATAGTGAAGAAGTTGGATTCTTAGTTAAATATGGATATGATTAATTACAATTATGAATCTCAGAATTGCGTTCTAAAGTACACCTCCAATTTTCATAACCTATTTCTTTTTCTTCTTCTTCACAAGCCCTGGAGATGTTTCTGCCACTATCTTTGAGAACATGAATTAAGTGTTGAATGCAATTGATACCTTTATTCTGACCCAAAATTTGTCTAGGTTCCTCACCACCACTTTAATCCTCACCATCTTATACTCTCCTTCCATTGATCGTTCACGTTCTTCTTCCTCACTAGTACTCACGTTACCTTCTTCCAATAACTCAACCGGAAGCTCGGGTTTGATATAGTCCTCTCTCTTTCCAGCAAGGCCATTGTCGTGTCTCAGGCAGTTCCCCATTGATATGTCTTGATGTATATAGTATAAATAAAAAGAGGGAGAAATGAAATTACGTGGGCTTGGGTGTATATATACAATTGAGAGAGAGAGAGAGAGAGAGAGAGAGAGAGAGAGAGAGAGAGAGAGAGAGAGAGAGAGAGAGAGAGAGAGAGAGAGAGAGAGAGAGAGAGAGAGAGAGAGAGAGAGAGAGAGAGTGATGCTATTTAAGAATATTAAGAATTTTTGTTTATACTGGTAAAATATCATATTTTTAATTCATTAAAAGTATCTCGAGTGATGCTATTTAACTTTTTTTTTTGTAATTATTCGCTCATAATATTCTCATTGTAAAAAGTACTTTTAGTTTTTTTTAGTATATGTTATCTAGTTTAAAATCAGTTTAAGAAGAATATTATTTAAAATCAGTTAACATAGATTATAATCGTCTAAGAATATAGATTGTTACCAGGTTCTAAAATGAAGTTAATGCGCCTGCATAGTCGCCGGGAAAGTGTGTTTTGGCAATGGACCGTCGCGATTTGGTCCTATCCGACACTGGTAATCAGGAAATAAAAATATATAGATTTAAAGATTTTAAGCTTGCAGTCACATATTATGTGAAAAGATCTGGTATATATAGATTAAAACCTACAAGATTGACAAGAATAAACAATGAAATTGAAGAAAAATATAACAATAAACAATGGCTGTGATAGAAATTGATATATCTGAAATTGAAGACATGGCTTTTTATGACATTTACAAAATTTTAATATAAAAACAAAAAAATAACAAAATTTATCTTACTTCCCATGAATCCTTAACCTGCGAGATGTTAAAGATGAGTCTGAATCTTAAATATGTGATAAATAAAAAAAAAACATTATTACTTTGAAAATATACAATTGCTTTTTAAAGATTATGTTTAAAGGAAATATTAATTATTTTCTTGATATCAAAACCATTATTGTGAACTTATTTTCATGAAATCATATTACATATAAATATATATTTCCTTTTTCAACCTTTTAAAAACATTCCTTTTTATTATATATTTGGAAATAAAAATTGAGTTGATAGACTTTACTAAATAAAATAATTTTAATAATACACTACAAGAAAACTAAGCATTTACTAGGAAATTTTACTAGGAAAAATCTTCCTCGTAAAGTTACTAAGCATTTACTAGGATCTTACGAGGAAAGCAAATTTCCTCGTAAGATCCTCGAAACCTTACGAGAAAATATTTTCCTCGTAAGACCTTAGTAAATTTACGAGGATCTTACAAGGAAAAAGTACTTTTCCTCGTAAATCCGTAGTAAAGATTTTCCTCGTAAAGGCGTAGTAAAATATTACTACGAAATTAGGAGGAAACAGTTTATTACTACCAAATTAGGAGGAAATGGATAGGAAATATCGAATTTAAATAAAACACATGTTTTGTACCTACTTTTCCTAGCAATTTCCTAGTAAATGCTCAGATTCGAAAATTTCTATAAATACCACCTTATGTGATTCATTTGAAACACACCAAAAAAAAAATCAGCTATAAGCTTGATCAAACACAAAAAAATGTCCGGTCCGGGAAATATTTTCGAGTTGCGGCAGTGGATGTATTCACACAGAGATAATAACGGGAGGGTGACGAACGAATTTCTGGAAGGGTTGGAGACGTTCATGCATCAAGCAGATTCTAC